TTGATTTTGATTGTGTGTTGGGGGCAGAGGAGTGCAGCCTTGATGAGGGTGAGGTCTTCAATTTCTGAGATGAAGGATTCAAACCTTCCTTTGTCAGAAGAGATGTCGATGGGAGCGAAGGTGGATTCATAGGGGAGAGTATAAGACACTGGGAAGGGCATTCTGTTTGAGGCGAGTTTAGAGAGGTGCAGTTGGAATAGCAATTGAAGTTAGAGCACGTGTTTTCTTTTATAAGTTGAGAGGGCTTCTCCAGCATTTTCCAAGTTTTCTTCAGGGATCCACTTGTTACTGGCAGAAAAATATATTTTCCATGACACTAGGTATTGGTGTCATTTGCTGTTTCCTTTATGGGCGAGAATGGCTTTGATTTCAAACTCCTCTTCTTCTAGAACATCAGGTGGGGGTTCTAGGAAGTTTGGACTGTGAACATCATTTTTGCTATAGGATGATAACTGAAGCATGGAATGTGGGGTGTATCTTCTATTGTGGAGGTAGTTGGAGTGTGAAAGTGAAGTACTGCAGAGATTGGGAAGGGGCCATATCATTTTGGAGCGAGTTTCCAGGAAGGGAGTTTTAATCGGAGATTGGTTGCAGATAACCATACCTTATTGCCTACTTTCCATGGTTGGTACTTCTGACCAAAGGATCTTCCCACCATTCATTGCATTCTGAGATACATTTCTAATTCTTGGTTGAGTCGTTCCGTCTGTCCATCGGTTTGAGGGTGGTATGCGGTGGAAGGAGCAATAGAATAGCCCAGAAGTTGTGCTAACTCTAGGGAGAATTTTGAAAGGAACTGAGGTCCGCAATCTGAAATGACCTTGTCATGTAACCCAAAGTATTTGAAAACATGTTTTAGGAAGAATTTGGCCACCCCTTCAGAGGAAATAGTTTTATGACAAGGAGTAATTATCACCCCCTTACTAAGCCCATGGTCTACCACAACCATGACAGAGTCAAATCTGGAGGATACTGGAAGATTGGTGATGAGGTCAACAGAAATCTGTGAGAAAGGCCTTGTGAAAACAGAGGAGATAGGAACGAGAGGTGGAGTTACAGGATGAGTGTCAACCTTCATTTGCTGGCAAATGACACACCCATCAACATATTTCCGGATGAAAGCTCCCATACCAGGCCACCAGGCCTTGCGCTTGACTAATTCTTCAGTCTTGAAGTGGCCGGGGTGACCTGTGGTTGGATGGTCATGGTAACAAGTTAAAATAGTTTTGCGATGATCAGGAGGAATGTAGGCATGATCTTTGTAGAACAACATTCCAGAGTCTATTTTCCAGTCATTCAAAGCAGATTTCATGGGGGGAAGGCAGATGCCATTAAGAGTGTCAATAGCAGTAGTGAAGATAGGGTCACTGAGAGGATCGGAGGTAGCGAGGGTGGATCAAAGATCATCATTGATAAGCCTGATGAACATGGAGTCAGGAAGGAGGATAGTATCCTGATTATCAGAGGATCCATCATCATAATCTGGTCGGCACAATATGGCATCTGGTACAGCTAATTTAGTACCAGGTATGTGATGCAGTTCTAGATCAAAGTTTGTGAGAAGCATCTGCCAGCGTGCTTGGCGACAGGTTAACCATTCCACTTTCCTAAAATAGAGCAGGTTCATGTGATCAGTGAATACTATAATAGGAGAGGGGTGTCCTTCGAGATAGTGTCTCCATTCAGTAAGAGCACAAATGATAGCTAGAAGTTCATGGTCAAAGATTTGGTAATTTCATTCAGCTGGGTTATTCATCAGTTTGCAGCAGGACTCCACCCATAGCAACTAGGGAAGCATCCATAGCAATAGTGAAACATTTGAGCGGATCAGGATTGCGAAGTATGGGATGGATGGTAAAACAAGTTTTTGGACGATTGAATGTTTGCTGACACCGGGGGGTCCAAAGAAAAATGGCATCTTTCTTTGTTAGGTCAATGAGAGGTCGGGCAATGTCAGAATAATAAGCTATGAAGGCTCTGTAGAAGTTACAGAATCCTAGGAACAACTGGACTTCTTTGACAGAAGTGGGGACCAGTCATTTGTCTATACCATCGGTTTTTGCTTTATCCATCTCTATGTGTCCAGGTTTGATGACCATGCCTAGGTGCTCGACTTCATGGGAGTTGAAGGTGCATTTCTCCTGTTTTAAGAATAGCTTTTCCTCCCTAATCTTTGTTAAAATCCTTCTTGTCTGAATACAATGTTCTTCAAGTGTTTTCAAGAAGATCAGAATGTTGTCCATATATATCACTAGCCATCCTTCATTGATTTCTGGTCAGAACTTGTCATCCATGTACACTTGGAAGGTAGCTGGAGAATTGTACAGCTTAAACATTATGGTTGGCTTGAAAAGTTCATGTTCCATAGTGAAAGCGACCTTCCACCTGTCCGCAGGGTGAATATGGATATTATTATAGCCAGATCTGATATCCATCTTTGTGAAGAAGTTTGCTTCATGTAATCTTTCGATAAGGGATGCTGGAAGTGGGAGGGGATAAGAGTTCTTTATTGTTTGATCATTAAGAAGTTGGTAATCTTGGCAAGGACATAATTCTCTGCTCTTTTTCCTATAAAGAAGAATCCACTTGCTTGCGGAGATTTTGACTTCATAATAAAACCTTTTGCCAAGTTTTCATCAATAAACTTTTTCACAGCGAGTTGTTCTTTAGGAGACAAGGGGTATACTTTGGACATCCTGGGGAGAAAACCAGGTTTCATTTCTACATGATGATCAATTCCCGGTCTTTCTGGGGGGAGTTGATTTAGTCCGTCCTTGGAAAATACATCCGCAAAATCATGGAGATAAGCGGGCACAAGTTCTTCAAAAGATTTCTTCTGTTTCTCTTTCTCATCTTCAGCAAATTCTTGTGCTTTGTGGCTAAACTTGAGAGGGGAAATGATGGGTAATTGTTCTGATAGAGATGTTCCGTCTTTGGTAAGAGGGTATCAAGGGAGACTTCTTCTATGACTCTCATGAATTCCCTGTTGGCATCATACTCTACCAAGAACTCTCCATCATCGAGTTCATAGGTAGAGATTTCGCACACAGGTGGAGTGAATCAGACATCTTCTTTAGTGTCGAAGCAGTCATCGTCTTTGGTGGGTATTAGTGAAGGAACATCTTTGGGGATTTCCTCTATGGAGGCAGAAAATTTTGATGGTTCCTTCTTCAGTCTAGAGTTCTCCCTTTTTTTTGTAAGTGTTTTTTTATGGAAATTTGGTTTGTCTGGACCTAGTAATACTTTTTTCTATCTCGATTGATTTTAGGGTGTTAGGAAGGGAGAGAGATTGTTTGGTCCAATCAATGGAAGGATTCATCACCCAGAGCCAAGGGATTCCTAAAAGGATCTGATCTTTTGGTCCCAGCTTGGTAATGTTAAATTTTCCTATCATGGTACATTCATCAATTTTGATGATAAGAGTGCAGTACTGGTCAACCGGCCCACTGCTAAAATAACTTCCATCTGCGGTTCAGATATGGAAGGGTTTCTCTAGTTTCTGTGATTTAATTCCATGTTTCTTCACGAAACTTTCGGAGATGTATGTTCCAGAGGCTCCAGAGTCAATCACTGTGCTTGTTTTGACATTTTTCTGATGTGTTCGAGAAATGAGAGTAATGGGAACATGAAGTTCTTTCTTTTCATTAACAGCTTGTATCAAATGTACAGATTCATTTGGAGATTCCATTGTCCATATGGTTCTCCAATTTAAAAATCCTCTTGGATGTGTCTCGTCTCGTCTTCTTCTTCTACTTTGTGAACAGAAGGCAGTCCTCTTTTCTTCTGAGGGCATTCCCAGGCACAATGTCCAACCTGGTGGCAGGTGAAGCATTTTCCAATGTGCATATGCTCTTGGCGGTCTGCTTCAGTAAGTTGATCAATTACCATGGCATCACGATCTCTGGTTGGTACAAATCTCTGGTCTCCGAATCTTTTCTTCTTTTGTTGTACCAGGAGGTGAGATCTGATAGATTGCAACTGCATGTAACAGTTGTCACTATCTACAATGGCTGTGATGCAATCGTCCAAGCTCTTTGGGATGTTTCCTGCGTTGAATAACTTGATGAGTATTCTGGTGTTGAGCCCTTGTTGGAAGTGAAAGATCTTGGCGGATTCTTCCTTAATCTTTGCTTGGGCGAGCAGCCTTTGGTAGTTGGTGATATAGGTCTGCAGATCTCCATTCCCTTGTTTAAGGAGTCCAATTTTTGCCATCGTGGTTCCAGAAGGGTCAATGGAAGAGAAGGCTTTGTTAAAAGCTTCTAAGAAGTCCTTCATTGATCCATATTCTTTCTTTTGTCCAAAGGAGTCAACAAACTGGGCATCCTCCAGAAATTCTTCTTTCCATAGTCTGACATTTCCTTTATTCATGAATAAGGTGATGAAAATAATGTGGTGCTTATCCTTTTTGTAAAGCTTATTGTTGATGTCCATGTAAGCATGGCAAGAGAGCAGGAATGATCTGGATAGTTCTCTATCTCCATTGAAGATAGGAGAATGGTTTATTTTGTATTCAAATTCTTTGACACTACTCATAGTGGTAGACATGTTAAGCGATGGGAGGGGTACCGAGGTTCAGGGCTTGTAGTCTTAGGGTGAGTGATGTCAGATTTGCTGCCTGCACTAGCTGTCTTGCTCAGCCAGGTCTTTTCTTTGAGTTCGGGTTTCGGTGGTATCAGACACACACAGATGGGTGGTGTCTTTCGACTTGAATCTTTTGTTACAAACTAGGATAGTTTTAACAATGACAACTTGACAGAGTTACAATCATTGAGATTCTAAGTCTCTCAAAATAGAGAGAGTTCTGGACTTAGTCAAAGGAGTGCTTTGACTAAGAATCAAGTGTTGAATGACTTAGGTGCTGTTTGAACAGCGAACCCTGGTTCAAAAATCTCAGCTCAAAACAACACATGATGATGGCACATGTTGCCAGCCTGTCAATAACTGACTAATCTTTGTCATAGATACACACCTTTGATCATTGTACTATCATCATCATTGAAATGTCTGATAGATCCAGCAGCGGATCCTCACACTCCCTACACTCTCGAGGTACCATTGAAGCAGCAGCAGCATCTGGAACATCCTGTAAGGCACCTGCAGTGTGGTCAAAGGCAGAGGAGACTGCCCTTCTTGAGTTCCTCTTGAAGGCCCTTCCTTCCTCAGGCGACAGGGGCTTCAAGACGTCCACTTTCAATCAGGCAGCTACCCACCTTAAGGAAAAATTCATGCAGCAGAGAGGTGCAGAAAAGACTGGTGTAGTTTGTAAGAATAAATGGACAGTGGTACGTCTAGTGAACTTTTCTGCCACCGCCAATATCATCATATATTTCTATAGTTAAAGAAAGCATATCACAGTATCATTGAGACCTCATGCAAAGCCCTTTATAATAAAGAACTTTGACCACTTTGAGATCATGGAGCAGTTAATGCCAAACCAGTCAAAGGGCGCACATGTTTTCTGGCCCACCACAACAGCTGTCTCAACTTCCATTCCCCCAGCAACAGAGAGTGTAGCACCAAGTGCAGCGCCTCCACCAGCAGGGCCACCATCATCAATCAATCCAGATTCCCTCAAGCCACCCGTTCCATCTACCTATCTCGCACCCTCTACTGAAGGTTCCACCACAGACTCAGCATGGACGAGCATCAGCCATAGCAAACATAAGTACAGCGCACTTGCTCCTGGCTCAGCCACAAGCTCCCAGAAGCGAAGTCAGCCACCATCTGCCACATTATTGGCACAACAGGAGGGTACTGAGACAATGAAGAGTCTTGTAGAAGTAGTGCACGAGATGCAGAGGGATTTCACACTAGCTCCTCCGCCACTCCCTAATGCCACAGCCAGTGCAGCCTGGAACACATGTTGGCAGCGCCATCGCCCTGCTCAACAAGTGCACAACCCTCACCAGCAAAGAGCACCTCTCCATTGCCAACTTCCTAGCTGAACATGAGAACCAAGCCATCATTTTCTACTCGTTGGATGAGGCAACAAGGCTTGAGTGGTTGGAGGAGAAGCGAGTGCTTTGTGGTGGCGCACCATGCCAGGCATCAGCTGACTCACAGCACCATATGATAGTCTGATAGCATACTATACTATATCTCATTTTGTCTCAACAATTGTCTCAAATATCAAGTGTCGTCTTGCGCTCATTTTGTCTCAATATATTCTACGTCTGGCACTTGGTTTGTCTCGAATGTCTTAAAAAATACCTAGCTGCTCTTCGATAGTGACGCCATTGCACGACTGAACAAATCCATGTTGCCACAGAACTTGTAAGAGCTCCTCAAAGGTTTGAAAGTTGATGCCAAGATTGTGCTTAATTCGGTCTGGGTGACTACTGATGAGTTCATACACCCAGACTTTTTCTGTGAGAATTGATGTGTGATATGGGATCTTTTCTGTGCGCGATAAGAATAAGAGGTTATAAAGGCATGAAATCTGAGTGACTGCAATGGTGATGATGACCATCGTAATTTGACGTCATCGATGTAGATTGTTTGCTGTTTGGGCTTCGAGGTCCATGTGGGTGCAATAATTGTGACCATCAGTGCATGGTTCAAACATTCATATGTTATATATTCCTATACTACATGTCAGATCACTATCGATATCTCTTATTAATAAAATATATCACGTGCCATCATCACATGTTGTTTTGAGCTGAGATTTTCGAACCAGGGTTTGCTGTCCAAACAGCACCTTAAGATTGGGGGTCTTAAGTGAAGGATGTTTCTGATAAAACCTAGTAAGATTCCAGTAGAGAATACAAGTGTAATACACTGTGCTTAAATAGGCCTTTATGTGCGCACAGACCAAGACAATTGTGAGATATATCGTACAAGCCAAGAAAGGAAAGCATATTGTATAAGTACAAAGGGAAAACAGATAGCAGTTGTAACAAAGGATGAAAAAAAAACACAAAGAGACTCACCAGATAGCCAAAAAGGTGCAAATTGGAGAGGATAAGCCTATAGCAGGAGCGGAAGAGCAAGGGGGAGCAGGAGCAAAAGACTTAGAGAAAAGGGTCAAAAAGCGAAAATTGGAAGAAGGACTCACCAAAGGCAGGAAGAAGACATGATCAGAGAGGAACACAAAGTATAACAAAAGACAGTCACCAAAAAGAAGAACCCCAGCACCAGTACCAGCACTAACATATACACCAAGATCAACACCAACCTCCAATTGAAGAGCAAGAGAATAAGAGTTGTTGAAGAAGATTGTTTGAGGGAAGATGGTGAGAGAAGGAAAAGAAGGGAAAAGACTTGTGGTTGACTGCATTTTTGCTTACCAAACAATGCCAAACATTGGACTTTGGAAGAATTTCACATTTCTTTGACTGTGGGAAAATTTCCGATAAAAACCAAAGTTGTAGCCCTTGTCAAGGGTAGTCTATCCATGGTCTCATGATATTTTTTGGTTAAGATTCTAATGACTTATAAGCAAAATACTAGAAAGTGATGTGTTCAAGAAAGTTCAGGCACACAAGTAATGTGACTGATGTTTGCTTATTAAGACTGGGAATACCAAAGTCAAATGGTCTACCATACTAAGTCATCCATATCCTAACCAATTGTCAAAATTTCATCAGGTCAATGACAGCCTATTGTAGCTTTTATAGCTAAAAGTGCTACAAAAAGTAACTTAGGCAAAAATAAGCTCAAACCCTTTTTCTTGATGAATGTTCAGAGCATTCATTTTGCTCTGACATCCTTCCTGGTATGTCATTAGTTTGCACTTGTATATGACACTAATATATATATTTCAAGTACTTTCTTCCAAAGATGTACTGTTGTAATAGGGTCCTATGTATTGAAATCACAATGTTTTTTGTCTCACTTTAAATTGTACTATTGCAAATGTTTGAAAATGTGTAGCACATCAAGTTCTTTGTGATTTCATAGAACTAAACTAAGTGTAGTATCTGCACACTATTACACTGCACACACTGTAGGGCTCTGTGGTGGCTGTATGGCTGTGGGAGTTTTGTATCTGAAATTAGTAGTTTGCTGATATGTAGATTCACAGGAAGCTACTTACAGGTGTCGGTGTGAACTGTAGAAGAGTTGTGCAGTGATTGGATCCATTGTGGTGGACAGCAGAGTGGGTCTTTTTTGCAAGTGCAAAGTGAGTTAAAATATTACTTTCCTCCTTATTAGGAGTATAGAAGGAGGAAGGGAATGAATGAAATGTCATGCTCATCTAGTTAGTGGTTGTCCGATACAGTGTTAGGGATGTGCATCGACTGTGTAAGGTTGCTTGTAGCATGAGCAACATAGTATAGGTCATGGCTGGATGGTGACTCTTGTACAAGGAGAATGGTAGGGGAGGGAGTATAGTCTGGTATTGCTCTAGCAGAAGAAGTTGGAGTGTCTGGAGTGGAGGGAGATAGTATGGTGGTCAGGGGAGTAGTCATAGATACATGTCCACTTGCTTAGGTGACCTTCATTAGTAGTGAGTCCATCTGGTCATTGTATGGTAGGATATTGGAAGAGAGGAACTTAAGTCCTGCACAAGAAGTCTTAGGGGAAGACGAGCAATATTAGGGTATGGGTGGGTGGCTTGGAAGGTAGTTTTGATGAAGGTTAGTTCTTCATCCTTCATGTTTCCAATGGACTGGGGATTTTGTAGTTTGATGTAAGTTTATATATCTCTCAATTCATTCAGTGCAAGTGATTCTGCACTTATAGTTAGATGGTGTTGTTGCTGGGGATGTTGGAGAAAGGAAAAGGATTTCAAGGAGTGATGCACTGTATAGGTGTCACCCAGCATACCTAAGAGGTCTCTTATTGTCATCCATAATAAGTTCACAAGTGAGACTTTGCATACCAACCATGGCCAAAATTCAAACTCTGCTAATCAGTGTATATTAATTAGAGAGGATGATCAAGAGATCATCCTTTAATTTTAAGCTCAAGCTCTTATTATGTATCACAAATTCAGCTATAAAGATATCCTTCATACAGTTGATACAGCTGCATTCAAGGCTGGATTTTCAGAAGTCAAGGACTTTCTAAAACACTATGAAAAACTGTATGAGTAATCTCTGATGAGGAGAAATGTGAATCTATTACCTAGTATATGTCCTGTTATATAACCAAATTTGTAGAGGGACTACCAAGCTTTAGATCATATAATTAGAGCAAACTCAAGGCTAACATTCTGAAGTGTTATAATGCTGACCTTGACACAAAATGATCTAGATGCAAAGATTTATTATCCTATGTAAGAACAACATGAGGAAAGAAAATCCCTATATTCACTGCTTGAAAAAAGTATGTGAGAGGGTTTATTCATATTGCAGGATGGCTTGAACAAGCCAAGAAATTAACAAGTAAAGAATATGCAAGTTACTTCTAGGAGAGAATTTATAAAAAACTCTATATCAAAATTGAAACATACCTCATGGCCAAGAATCCAGACAGGGATCTATCTGAAGCCTTCCTAATAGACCAAGTTATTGCAATAGCAGAGAAATTGCCACACCATGACCAGTTTAATGCAGACCTATTAGTTTCTGAAGTAGAGACTAAGTCTAAAACTGGCTCCTCCACTGAAGAAAACTCTGATGTCAATATGGACTCAGAGTCTAGTGAGTCTGAAACTGAGTTTTTTTGCAAAAACAAGAAGGCTCCAATGCCAACAGATAAGAAAAAAATAAAGAAAACTTAAAAGAAAGTGAAAGGACATATTGAGGAAGCCAAGACTAAGACTTCCTCAAAAGATAATAAGAGTCCTAGTATTACTTCACTAGAAACTATAGATGAAATGGAGGGACTCATTAAGAGACTTAATACAATCTTACTTAATGATTCAGACTATGCTTTGTATTACTACAAGGCAACACAAATTGATCCTACTATCACAGATATAATAGCAGCCTCTATTTTGAAAAGAGGTAATGCTACCCAAGGGGAATATAAACCTTATAACAATCAGAATAGACAAAATAATGTAACACAAAACAGTAACACAAATCAGACATTCAGAGGACCACAATCAGGTACTAGGTTCTATCATCCATCAAATACTCCTTTCAATGAATGAACATGCTTTGGTTATAGCAAAAGGGGCATGGTATTCCAATGTGTCCATAAATTAATAAACTAATCACTGATGGTAAAATACAGTATACACACTATGGGCAAATAGGAAAACCAAATAAAAAACCCATAAGATGGTTATCTGAAGAAATAATTATTGAAGCACTAAAGCTAAATGACAGTGTGCCAGTAGCTTACTTTATCAAAGTGAATAGCGAAGACATACAAAGCTATGGTGCAAATAAGCAAAATAAATTTTAAGAGTCTAGAACTACATATATTGAGAAGTATGTATATGTGTTCTAATAGCAAAGATAATGACACAGACAATTCAATTAACCAGTATGAAGAGACTGAAGAGGAAGAAAGTGATACTAATGAAAAAACATATACATTCCTGGTTAAAAGAGTCACATGAAAATCCACACAATAAAAATATGAAAGGTTCCAGGAGGTATTCCCTTCAGGTCGAAACAAAACTCTAAGGAAAACAAATGAAAAAGATAAAGGAAAAGATAATATTTCCACTACTCAAGCCAAGAAGGCTGATGCTCATACCAAACCTAAGTCTACACAATCCATTCCAGCCACAAAGACAAAGCCTGCAAATGAGAAAGAGATGGAAAAAAAGTTTAGATAATGTGTGAGATAGTGAAGACATCATCATGGATGATGTAGATGAAAGGAAGGTTAATGAGAAACACCCAAAGACCAACAAAACACCTTATAAATCAATCTCAAACTCTGATCATAAAAATACAACAACATATTAATGCATGGCAGAAAGGAAACTATGTCTCTATTAATGAAAAAAAGGACAGGACATGGTTATTATTCAAAAATCCACTTGATTTAGAGGTCTGTTATGAACTGCTATGCACTTCTGATAGAAATTATTCTAATTGGGACTTTGAACCTAGGCAAAACAACTATGTTTTGCAAGATTAATAAACAATTGCCAAATTCAGAATTTGGTGCACAAAACTCTAAACGCAAAAATCACATGACCAAACAATTACAAAATGATCTCCAAGCCAAGAAACTTATCAGCAATGATCTGGATTAGTCAGCCAAAATTGAAATAACAGAATTCATAAAATCTACAAAAGAAGTGCCAGAACCAGTGCTATACCTAGCATCCACTAGCCTCATGTCTAATCAATACAGTGCGAGGCATCCACAAATCACACATACATTCAATTTTAGTAACTTATTGCATTCTTAGAATATGCTCAAACATGTATTCAACAATCCTTGTGCTGAAGTGGCTGATTTCCTCTTTTAGAATCCTAGCAACTTCTGATTCACAACTTCTATTAAGAATATCAGTCTAACTCTCTGTTCACTCCACATCCTTATTCTCACCTTTTAACCTCTTACAATTGGATGTCTATTCTCCCTCCTATTTCCCTGTTTAATGAAAGAGATCATCTGTCACTGGAGAAGAGGAAGGTATCCCTGAGCTGGGGGATAAGGAGGATAAGTCTTTTTTCAATCTGAATATCTATAAAATCTAACAAAATCTAATACTACATTCTATTCATGCCCTCCTCAACAATTTTTGACTAATGCCACTACACCTGCTAGCACTATCTCTTCTCCCTATGTGTTATAAGTAACATCGGTCACATGGCCCCCCTATTATTTTCCCTTCATCCTTGCCCTCACCATCTACCGGCTTGTTCTCCTCTACCGACTATCTGTTAATCAGATCCTTAGGACAGTTCCTGTTCCTCATGTCATCCTCCTCTATGCATGTGCACGCATGTTCCCTCCTATGACTCGACCACCAACGTGGTCCCACACCTCTGACTTGATATGAGTCGTGCCACTGATGTGGCTTTCCTTTTCTGTTCCATTCTGACTGTGCTCCATACACATTGTATTCTTACCATTGGATTGTTCCAACATTTCTTGGTCTCATTCTATATTGGACCATCCATCACTAATCCGGCTGTGTTACCAATGTACCTATATCATTTCCATTTCCCCTTACCTACAGTATGGTAACCTAGCCCTCAACCCTTTCCACTTAGTATAAGTAGTCGGTCACTCTGTACTAGATTCTCTAACTTGAATCTACTCAATCTTCCCTGGAACATACTTCTCTCTTCATAGTTATATGATATGTGCACCTGTGATCACTGTCGACTAGACATCACCAGTCTCACTCACTATACCACATCCTTCCGGTTACATCATGAATGTTAGCAGACGACGCCCCTCTTAGGGCTCTATATAACAAATTTATTTGAGTATGTAATACTATGTTCATTCTCCTGCCAGCACTATCTTTCCTCCTAATGCTATCTTTGGTATAGCTATCACCACCCTTCCTCCCAATGACACTTTGCTCATAGCCGGCTCTATCTCTTCTCCCAATGTTGACCTTATGTATAGCACTTATGCCCCCTCTCTACCCTTGCATCTTCTCTCAATATAGTACCACTCATTATGTCCATGCCCTCTGTGGTCTCTCATTATGACACCCAATGTATCAGTGCCCTCTATGCTCTCTCTCTCTCAAACCACTTAACATGTCTGCATGTTCTTCCTTTGTGCCACTCAATATGTCTGCACCTTCTTCCTTTGTGTCACCCAATATGATATCAGCCTTCACTTCACTCATGTCCGACACAATACCTATGTTAACCTTACTTATGCCTAACATGGCTGCTGCTATACTCTTACCTTGTCCTTCTCATAATAGGACTAATATATATGTATTGTTTGATGAAAATAAACTTTGTTTTGATCAAAATCTATACACTTCTAACAAAACAGAGACCTTCTCTGATAGCCTGATCCCACCTATTGCTTCCTTGCCAGATGAACCTAGTAAGGACAAATTTGTACATGCTATTGACCCAGATGAAGAAGAACCTTTGCTCCTTGCCTCTAATGATGAGAGCATTCAGATTCTAACCTTTTACAATATACTTAACATTATATTAAATGAAGCAGATATTGCTAATGCAAATGAAAACATGTCCATACCATCCTCTGCAGCAGTGCTCACACCTCCTCCTACTGATACTCAAGACTCCATTGATGTTTTCCTCATTTATCCATCATTTGATGATAAGTCTACTTATGCAAACTTGACCTTCACATTACCATTCAGTGCCTTCTTAGTGGCACTACCTAATTCTAATGTGAGCTTACCTAGGGATAATGAATATGCCCCCTCACTCATGCCCTCTCATCCTTTTAAGGGTGATCTTAAATTCAATTACTGTCTAAGCCCACTTTGAGAAATTCAAAGCTTATGTAGGATAACAAAGACATCCCTATATTAAGTCTATCTGAAGCAGTACCTACACCTATAAAAGGGACCATCCCTTATTGAGGCCCAAGTCAACCAGATGAAAGGAAGTATATTTTGTTTGAAGGACTAACAAGACTTGAGGCTAAAGAATATCTGAGCTCTAAATTCACAAAGTATAACGACTGCTGTTCTATTTATATTCCTAACATTGTTCAAGCTATTAAGTCCTACTGTTTCTGCTGAGATAAAATTGTTGCTAATGATTGGAACTACCATATGTTCTGAGACAGAAGCTACCCTGGACATCCTGTCATTTCAGAAAGTATCAAGCTCTCCACTGGAGGTCCATGTTCTAAAAAAACTTGGCATGAATGGGTCTGAGAACTTTCAGATTATAGGATATATACTCAGCACTTGACTATGTCATTGAAACTGTCCTTTCAATTTGCATACTTACTAAAGCATGCTCTTGCATAGGAACCATCAAATGTGACCAAACTTTACATATTCAGGAAGGTCTATTTAACAAAGTCTACACTGGATATTACAACAACATCAATCCAATTTTCTTGAAGAGTGAAGCTTATGGAGAAGGAGAGTTAGCAACTAAGATTCTTGATCTCCTCCTTATGTTCTTTCCTGATAAGGACACTGTCAGTGTCCTTACTGAATCTCTACTCTTTAATGTTGGGACTGTTAAGGACATCCTTTGTCTTACATCAGACAGAGACCTAGTCCTTGGGATCATGTGCATAGGCCTCACTACCATTGTAACCTCTCCCTTTTACAGTGAGATGTTTGAAGACCCTTTTTATTGACAAGAATAGTTTATTCTCTCTAAAATTGCCAAAGAAGAAGAGCTAAAATCTAAGGCTAAGAAGTTTTTTCTCTAGTGTTCTAGAAGTAATCTTCTACCCTTCATTATTATTTTCTAGATTTATCAATATCTCTAATAGAAAATCTAAAAACTTGTTGCTGAATCTTCAAGTTTTAAAATTTCATATATATCCATCATGGCTGTTTCCCCTTTGACTTCTATTGGCTCATGTCAAATTTCACATAATCCCAAAAACATGAACTCTCACATCTTCAAACTAGTGCCTATGTATTTATATCTCCATTTTTATGTTAGTTTCAGACTCAGTATCTTGTTTCATATGTTTGTTTTTGCTTGTTTTTATTGTCTCTAGCGCTCTTGCCTATTCACAAAAACTATATTGCAGGATTGTAAAATGCACCCAGAAAGTAGAGATCTTACAGCTTTTCTAACATCATTAGAACTGCTATGCTTAAAAGCCTTATAAATGGGCTATACAAATGTACCTACAGAATTTCAGAAATGTACTAGCTCTATACTACAGGATGAAATTCCACATGCAGCCAATGTTTTTATAGACAACCTTCCAGTCAAAGGTCCAAAGACTATCTATCCTGATGATAAAGGTAATCCTGAGGTCTTATAAGACAACCCAGGAATTAGATGATTTATTTGGAAATATCCACTGTGTATTTTTGACTCTGATAAATAACTGTCTATATTAACAGGAGCTCATGACACTACAGGCATTTTCCCATTTTCCTTCACCAAACATCTAAAATACATTAATTGAAAGATAGAAATTTCTCTTCATTTTGCCTGTCAAAACATTAGAAACAGTAATTCATATATTAATAATTTTCTGTGTGTGGGATGTGATGCAAAAATTGGTCATGTTCCTTCAAGAATAATGCTGTACTTTCCATTTATTGTCTTTTAAATAGCAGCTTACAAAGATAATGAGAGGTGAGGCAAGCATGTCTGAATCAAATAGTAAGAGGCTCCAAATTGCTACCTTGAATGACATTGAGGCAATTGTCAAAGATATGTCTTGTTGGTGACTCAATTGTGGTTTTGAAGGTTCAAGGTACCAAGATTCAAGCATGGGAGCGTGTACCATAATTAGTAAGTATCAGTATTTGACATAAAACTCTAGATTGTATGTACAATGTCATAATCCCATTTGTCATCAATTCATCCTTGTCATTACACTGAGACATGGCAAAATAAGATTTAGGTAACAGATCCCATTTAAATTCAGGGACAAATTGTTAATATTTAAAATAATTGAGTATACTTTAAGATGCATGATCAAAGCAAGAAAATGTCAACAATCAATTATGACTCCAGATTCATCCTCAAATGAGGAATTTGTATATATATAAATACTGAATTAGTTGGCATGAGTCTGCCTTATTGTTAAATTTATAATCAGATAATGAAAATAACAAATATATGTAAACAATGAGATTCATAAATAAATGGTAGATACACCACATGATCAAATGTATAATCAATTTAAACTCTGATTCAAATTGAGTGGGAGAATAGAGTGCAGCTATGTTCAGTGAGCATAGGGAGGAAAAATTAAGAATATGTACACTAATATTTCTAACATTGCATTGTGACAATGATCCTAAAAATGCACATAGTGCATACAAGTGCCCTGTTGAGTGTATCACTTAGTGGGTACAGTCTAATTTGAGTATCCTATCAGGGGTCTACTCAATTCATTATTATTTCATGTGTCTGCTAACAGCGAAATGGCACTCACAACTGAATGTAAGCATGTAAGAACAATATGTCATGAAGTGCATAGCTAAGAAATATCAAGTCAAACAGTCAAACAATAATACCATAGGTTGACTTACTAGTCCAAGTTCTAGATTTGATGAGAAGTTGAACAATAAGTCATCTTAAATGAGTTATCAGCATGCCAAGTCCAGAGGAATTAAATCACCAGGTTTGCTTGAAGAAGTTGAATAGATCCTCTGTTTCCACTCGTAAATCCTTCAAACTGTTTACCACTAGCTCACCATCCACCTACAACAACTCCCTCATGACAGAGACATCTGTCATTGTCACCTGCCACAGAACATTATCTAGGTTAGCTGGTACATGAGTAGTTTGTCAAACTGTCTGATAAGGTAGTCATGCCAGCTCTCAGGAATACAGTCAATACCATGACACTAGCTATGATTGAATGGATAGCAGACAAAATTAAGAATATCACTTTTACATGTTCTCACAATCCTCATGCTAAGAAACACTCTGAAGCAGTGAAAGATGATACCAAGTCTGAAGGTGAGGACAATTAATATCATTCCCACACAGAAAACATTCTGGAAAGTAGGGTACCATGAATCATTTACACATATGTCTGGAGAGCTTCATGTGAATAATATCTGATTAACATTCATTTTAGAATACCTTTCCCCCCATTGCAAATTGTTTAAGCTTTTAATTGTGACAATGAAAGTCTGCTACCACATTTGGATAACATTGCCATCAACTGAAATGACCCTTTTAGGAAATCTCCTTGAAATACAGAGGTGATAAACCACCTGTGTGACACCACTTATGTTATTACTTAGTAATGTTAGTACATATGTTATGGTGTTACTAATTAGAAGGAAAAGGCTTGTACGCTGTCTTGCATGATATGGGAATCATGCAGAACACATATTTATAGTCTGTTAGTCTTGTCCTCAGACTACACAAAATATACTTTGAGTATAGACTCAAGTGCAATAGAAAGCTTTATGTGCTCTAATCACACAAAAGTATGGTGTTTTGAAGAAAAGTCAAATATGATGAAGAAATTATATATTGACATAGTCCAAGTAATGGGTGTATAAAAGCTCAGATTATTACCTAACTTTTGGCTCATTTACTTTGACTACAAATAACCAAGGAGAAAAATTTAGAGGCCTATAAAAACTTTATCAAAAAAGCTTGTGTTTTTCTTTTTTCTTTCTTTTATGATTATTCCTACCTTATTTTCTCTATGTTTTTCTTTCATTTCTTTACCTATATGATTCATTAACATCCAAGATGCCTCATAAAATGTACTTACAGGGTATGATGTCATTGAATGCTAGAATGTTCTGCTCCACCTGGCTCCACTTGGCTCCATTTTTGCTCCAGAATGAGGTCATTTATGATGCAATTCTGATGTCATTTCTCATTTCAATTTTATTTCTTGGTATTATACAGTTTCTCCCATCTCATGTATAAAAGGAGAGCCAATCTCCACTCAAAAATACAAGAATCTCTTTTATTATTTAAAAGAACCTCCAGCTTCTTCCACTTTCTCTGATATTGACACTCTTGTGTTAGCCAAAAAGTGCAGACCAAGTATCTAGACTTGCTCTAAAATCATTTACTCTTTTCTTGACTGTACCTATACTGTCTAGTGTGTATTTAACATACATTTCAAAGGACTAGGAGTATCAAGTCAAGCAATTTATCTGTGCCTGCAGATTCCTTTATTGGACTATCTTGTATAACTTATAGTTGTATGCACCCATGGTATTTTTTTTAGTTGTATAACACATGGTTGGTTATACACTATCATTCTATTATTTTGGATACATCATTTGTACTTTACTTCAAGGGAGTCCAAACCAGCATTTTTGATTTGTATCGCATAGTTATACAAATCCTCCTATTTCCCATCAACAAGTCCTTTCATATTTAGGTGGGGGAAATTCTAGTAATATCTGCTACATTCAGTTGCAACCAGTTGCACAATAGTATGCACATCACATCACTTATCTGTCTAGTCAACAAAAAGACTAGAGAGACTTATTCGTGTCAAGTATTTTCCATCTAGCTAGAGAAAAGGCTAGATATTTCTCTACAAAGTCTACATTATCTGTCTTGCCAGATAAAGCTATATTTCTCTTGTAGAACATCTACTGTTCTAGGTAGAATCACACTACCAGGCTGTATAAGCAGGTAACCTCCTACAAACAACATATTATCTATTATGAAAGAAGAAAAGTCATAGACCGCGAACTTGAGGTTGCTTGCCAGCATCTAGTCTTATCAGACCACTTTATATAAGACACCTCAAGTAAGAAGACACTGGGTCTTTGAAACAAACAAGTCTCTGAAAAAAAAACTAGGCTAGTCTTCATCACTGCTCTCAATCAACTCTGTACTCT